TCGATTACAGATGATAGCAGATTTTTATTTTAAATTTCACCGTTGGTAGAATAATAATTAGATTATCATTGCACAAGGACAGAAGTTTCACTGTTAAAGAACAAATAAGTAAACTAGGCTACTAGTTATCTGAATGACTGATAAGCTTCCTGTCAATTCAGATGTAGTCTTTTCTTGATCAGTCAAAGTTTTATACCTCCCTTGACATCCTGTCCAATCTCACATGAAGGACACCTTTTAAAGCATGTACTGCGGCTCTCTGTCACTATGATGTATGAATGAATCAGAACATTAATTTAAAAGTGACGGATGTCTGACTGACAGAATATGGTCACTTTACCAGTGTGGTATCTGCTGTTCCAACTCATGTGTTTGACATATTTAGGTCTGCAGGAGATTCTCTGTTTCGAGACGTGTAGGTGCTGCCGGGGATTCTGAGTTTAAAGAACCGGGCTTGTCTGTTAAGAGAATTATCTGCTTCTGTGGTTATGACCTATATGTTCTGTCTTAGCCCCACGTAACCCGCCCCTATACAAGCCAGTAGTTATTCAAGAGGGTGATTCTTTTTGGCTTTGAATCCTCTCACAGGCATATTGTACTTGTATAATTAAACTTTTTGTATGTCAACAAGAAGGTATCTGTGGAGAATGTCTTCATCATCGCTACACAATAAACAACACCAGATTAATGAAGCCACACATGTGACATATCTCCTGTCTGAAAAGGGTTTAAGGAAATAGAAGCTTTAATGTTTCCTTCCTACACCACTTCTGCTCTCTGTAATTGGACCCTTAAAGCACTAAGAGGTTGTTAGCACGCCTATTTTTTTGGATTGCTCATATTAATGCTTTTAAAATTGAATCACTGAACGTTGCCTCTAACTCATTCAAACAAAGCACACAATGCTAATATTACAAATTTTTACACCGACTCACAAACACTTTAAAACAAGAATAAAGGTTCAGGTTTAAAATGTACTTTAAGCGTCCTTGAATATCTGCTTCATAAACATACTCACATGAAAGCTTCTTGTCCATGAACCTGAAAAAAATAAAAACATAAAGTCTGTCAGTCCTGGAGGCTAGCTAATGTTAGCTTGTTGCTATTGCACACAATGTAGCAGAGCTGAAGTCCGGGAACCACTTTAGTTATTTCAAACACGAAACATTTTCAAAATTTACAATTATTTAATTGTTAAAACTCACTTCTTCAGCTCGGGCGGGTGTGCTTTACTCATTTTGCCGGTATTGTCCGAAAGCGTACGTTCTTCGTTTCACAAACCCGCGGAAGGAAAGCGTGCAACGAGGACCCGGAAGTTGAGCGGCGGACTTCCGTCACGGGCTTCCGTAGAGCGCCGCCCCGAGGCCGGGAGGAGGAACAACAGCTAGTCTGCGGATGAGTTAGTGTACTAACGGAGCAAATGCCTAAAATTATTACTGAAGGGACATTTTAAAAACAATTTAGGCTTGACCATGCCTGACAATATAATAACAGAAAATATTAATATTTATAATTTGTGAAATGTTAAATTGATATATTATCTACTTTGAGCACATTTTTTTGTCACATTGAACTTTGAGTCTATGTTTGAACAACAATATTCCAGGAACTATTAAAGATAAAAGCCTGCCATTTTGTATGTCATTTCTCATAATACTGTTGATCCAGAATCAAATAGTTTTTGATTATAGCTGAGTTGAAATATTTTAAAAAAGGCTTGTGCATCACTAGTGACCTCTGCACAGGCACTATATATGGAAATTAGATGTTAGCTATACATTGTGCATTGTGTCTGTGCGATGACAGTATTTCCTATGTCAGTACTTTTACTTATGGAAGAATCTGTGCAATAGTTTTTTTTGGTAAATGACATGTACAATATCGTTATTTTCCACATCCAGAGGAATTCATACAATACTTTAACTTCCACATAAGGATGAACAATAACAACGGTGCTCATGTTTATTGTCTGTTTATTATTCTACTGATCTTCCCTACACCTTTACACCATCCCCTTTGCTGCTGTAACACTACAAAGTCCCTCACTGTTGGATTAAAAAAGGCTTATGTACTTGTAAAATAAACAAAAATCCGATAAAGTGAGCTTGTATTATTCATCTGAATCTCAAAAAGTAAAGTACAATATTTGTCTGAGAAATGTTGATGAAGGTGAACTTCACGTGTATTGTGTTTGGTAACTGATCCACTACCCAGTTCAACAATATTCTTTTTTTTAAAAATCCTCGACTGCACTCACTAAATCAGCAGAAAAAGCCCAAACAAAACATCACTTGAGAACAGTTAAGTTTTAATTATGTCGTCTACAAAGAGCCAAATTCTAATTTACAAAAGACCTTGAAAAATGGAAGCTTCAAAACCTGTTAAATCATGTGTTTACATTTTCACAGTAGCACTTTGAAAACAGTAGCTGAAAATACTTTAGAATAAAAAAAAAGGAGGAAAAGAGGAAAAAAAAAAACCTTATGTTGACTCTAGTTCGCTCACCAAAGCCGCTTATCAAGCGTCGCAGTCACACCGAGGGGCTGTTATCGATTCACCTGTTTGCATAGCGAGTTAAAATGACCCGAGTTCATACCAGGCAAAGACAGGCCTACATAAAAGGCATTGTTTTGGGGTTAAGCATCCATAAAAGCCAAGTTTGTTCAATGTATAGATGATGGAAACGACAACCCAGCTTGAAAATGCTCTATGCTGCCGTCTGAATTCCCCCCTGGTGCCCCAAGTAGACATAGCCAAACCTCCCTCCACAGCGTTGTGACAGAGTTTATTATCATTCTGCAATAATTTCTTTACACCAATTACAATCACCTTGTTCGGTACTGAGCCCAGGATGTAGCAACAGTGCCCCAGAATATTTTTATATAATCAAAATGGCTAAATCAGAAAAGAAAAAACAAGCTGGGCTGCATTATTGTATAATCCAAATATTCTGCAAAAAGGGAAATTTTCATGTTACTGCTTGGAGGTTGTTGTCGTCGTTGCTTCCCATAGCAAAGGAAACCATTTAATGGGGACAGTCGAAAGGGAGGACATGGCCAAGTTAAATACATCATAGCAATAGCAGGCTTATAGCCAAAGTCTAAACCTGGTGAGTCAGACAAGTAGTGCTGCAGATACCCTGGTCAAACACACAAGACCGAGCAAGTAAAAAAACACCCGCGGTCCTGCAAATCTGTGAAAAATTATTGCCAAAACTGGAAGAAAAATAAGTTACAGCAGAGAACATGAATGACTTTAACTAAATGAAGCACTGCAGATTTTTTTCTTTTCTTTTTTCAAACATGTGTGGCAGTGCTTTGGCTAGAATTCAACTCGTTTCCCAAAATGCATGTTTGAGCCTAATTAACTTTGTATAATTCTAAATCTGATCGTCTTGACTTTGCAGAAAGGTGCTCGTGGGAAACGAGGTCCTCATCAGGATGAAATAACGACGCGTCAGTGATGGTGGACTAAGAACTGATCAGGCAAACTCAGCATCAGACTGGGTGGGTTTTCTCAGACTGCTGTCAGTGCATTTCATTCAAGGGTTAAAATCAACTTGCAGTCACATTTCAGATTGTGTTTAGTCAACACTGTGTCATATTTATGCTGGAACAAAACTGAAATGTATCTTAAACCAGGCTGCCGAGCAACACACACCCTGAAATCATACTTTGATGGCCACTGTGATGGATTTCAAACAAACTGATTTACATACTGTGAAGTAAAACAAACAAACGTGGCTGCAGAGAACATAGGAAACATGTGAGAATCTGAAGAGAACTATGGTCTTCTGTAGAAAAGTTAACTGTAAACAGGCTAAATAAACACTCCAGTATGGTAGTTTAACAATTAACCATTAGTCTATCCTTTGATATGTTGCTATCAAGCCAACAGCAGGAGTACGAAACAAGATGTTCTGAACGCTCAATCAGTGAACTAGTTACTCAACAAGAATTTCATAGAGATTTCATCACTCTCCACTGTCCAACCCTTCAAGGGAAAAAAAAAAAGGCAATCATTGATGACATTCAAACTGAAACTTCAGGCTTTGCTGGCCTCCAGGATTCTGTCCTCCTCCACTCTGGCTCGCAGATGCTCCTGACAGTGTTCTAGGAATGAGTCCAGTGCTGAGAAGCCCTGCTGGCAGGGCACACAGTGGTAGAGCCGCTGCCTCTTGGAGCCCGGCCATTTGCAGGTGTCCATGTCGCTCTTGCAGACGCTGCAGTGTCGCCTCTTGACGGAGGACTGGTGAAGCTCCACGTGCTCCTTCAGCTGCCACTGCAGAGAGAAAACCTCTGCACAGGAGGGACAAGGAAACTCCCTCTCCTCCTCCTCTTCCTCCTCTTCTTCTTCTTCTTCTTCTTCTTCCTCCTCCTCCTCCTCTTCTTCTTCTTCCTCCTCTTCCTCTTCCTCTTCTTCCTCCTCCACTTCCTCTTCCTCCTCTTCTACTTCATCCTCCTTCACTTCAGGCACTTCTCTACATGTCTGTGATTCATCAACCTTGGGAACTTTCCTGGGCCTCCCTGGACCGGCCTTGACTGTCTTATTACCTGCTACTTTATTTGGTGTGTTCTCTGATGACCTGGAGTCTTTGGTGGGACATCGGACAGACTGTTTGTTTTTCATGGTGGTGAAGCTCCGGGCCGTGTGCTGTCTGTAATGTGCCCTAAGTGACAAATGATGGAAGAAGACTTTGCCGCAGATCTGACATGGATACGTGTCTACTCTCCTCTTGTTGATGACCGGCTTCGACTCTCTCCCGATAGTTTTGTCTCTGCTGTGCTTCTCTTTTCTGTGTACGTACAGTTTGGAGGTGCTCCTGAAAACCATGTCACAAGAGCGACAAGTCAGAAGCTTGTTTTGGGATTTTGGACTTTTATTTGGATGTCTGTCTATCTTGGGGTCCCTTTCTTTTCTAGCCTCTCCCCTAGCGCTGTCTGCTTTGGTGTCCTGTCTCTCCGCTGCATGGTACATCAGTTTGTGGCGCTGCAGTCCAGCTTCTGTGCGGAAGGTTCTTGAACAAAGACGGCACATGTTGACAGCTCTGCCGCTGGGCCCTGGGGTGTCCGAGCAGTCAGAGCGAGTGGAGTCACCCTCAGAAACTGGAGGAGAATCATCTGGAAGGCTGCTAGCATCAGCTATATCTGACGGGGATGGCGGCTCACTGCAACCGGCCTGCTGGTGGTGCAGCAGGGCCTGTTTCTGGCTGAAACCTCTCCCACATGGGGCGCACGCATACGGGCTGCTGTCCAAGAGGTGAGGCTGTCGGTGAAGCGACTTCTCCTGCGGCCTGCCAGGATCCGACGTGCGATTCGTACATGCGGCGCAGGGAGAACCGAGCCGCGACGCCCCGTGACAGAGTTCACAGCGGGTGGAATCATGATCGCATTTGTGCAGCTGTAAGGACGACTTCAGGGAGAACTCCTGCCCACAGGAGGGACAGCGGTGAGGCTTGGGTAAGGTGTGTTTCAGTTCCTGGTGCTGCAGCAGATCTGCTGCACAGGAGAAAGCCTTACTACATTCTTTACAAGAGAACGTGGCCAGGTGGTTGGACAGCTGCCTCTGGCTTCGCGTGTGCTGTTTGGCCTCGGCCTGTGAAATGAAGCTGGCGAGTCTGGACAGAGTGTCTGCTGCCGTGGTGGAGCGACTGAAGGACTCCTGGGACCTGGTGGTGCTCCAGCTGACTCCATCCATCCTCCGTCACCAAGCTTCACTCCTGCTTTATTGGAGACAGAAGAAGTTTGCGTCACCAGGGTGGGTGGGTGTTGTTTCAAGGAATGTTTTACGTTATATTACATGCATAAAACAAATCTAATTGAACGTGGATGAAGTTGCTTATAGTCCAGTGCTGCCCACTTAATGTCACACCACTTTATAGAATATCCTGTTTATGATAATAAAATATTGAATCATTTCCTATAGAACTTACAGCAAAACAGCCCGTTTACTGTCATGGAATAATGTCATGATCCCGGTTGTTGTCACAGCAAAATTCCCCGAAACTGATTCCAGGAATAACTTTTGCCCGTTTAAAGTCCTGGTCGGCTGATCGTTACACATCAATGAGAATCACATCGTTGCAGAGCATGTTGTCAGTCATAACTGACCTGCTCAGCGAGTTAATCATGATAAGTTAATCGTCTGTAGACCCTCTGATTAAAGGAAAGGACTTCTCTTTGATGGGGTGGTTTTTTGTAACGACAAAGGTGATATTTCACTGACTCAAAACCACAAAGCTCCGACTGAATAAACATTTCTTGATCGTCAAAGAAACTGTCCCTTTGATCCCATTTTGGCTTTACGTATAAAGCCCCGTTTTTCACAGACACAGTTTTGTCAGAGCGCCATCGTTGCGATTGAAGGCCTCTTATTGGAATATCCCGGATATAGTCATAATTCCGTCCTGGACCGGAGGGTACGATAATAAACGGGCAGCATTGTACCACTTTAAAAAAAAAACAACAACAACAAAAAAAAAACAACTTTTGAAGCAATATGAGTTGGAAAAAAATGACTTTTCTTTGAGCCCAGTAGTAATATTCTGTAACTCTTCCAGTTGGGACACCATTGGAGTGGTTTCACTATCATACTGGCTCAATGTTTGGTTATAACTGCAAAAATGTTTTAATTTTTAATATATATTTTTTTCTCAAAAAGTTTACCTCTGACTGGTGCCATACTCTACATTTTTAAAGCTCCTATTGATGCCAATGGCAGGAAAACAACATTTTAAATAAAAATAAACATTTTTACGGTTAGTGGAGGGCTGCAAGGTGGAGCGCTGGTTAGCACTGATGCCTCGCAGATAGACGGTCGCCGGTTCGCATCCTGGTGAGGACACCCAGGATCTTTCTGCATGGAGTTTACACGTTCTCTCCGGGTTCTCTGGCTTCCTCCCACAGTCCAAAAACATGTTGAGGTTAATTGGTGATTCTAAATTGTCGGTTGGTTGGTTGGTGGAATATTGTGGATAATTTTTGACCAAATTGGCACCATCATGTAACTGGCCTGTATTGTTCCATCAAAGCAGGGCTGTACCACTGAAGACCAAACACACATATCTATGAGGCTGCAAACTGTCAAGCCTGTAGCTGCATTATTTCTCAAGTTCTGACATTTCAAATATGGATCTGTATATTGGAGCAAAGAAAACATGATCCCATCACTCTCTATAAATGTTCTGCTCAAAAAGTTACGACACCTGTGACCAAAGGTTTCCATGTTATACTTAATAATACGTGAATGCACAGAAAAAAAGCCAGACAAATATGACACCAGTCAGGCATGAACTTTTTAAAAAATGTGGTGAATTATTTTGGTGGACTGACCCATGGATGGATAAGCCCAAAGCAAACACACACAAAACAACAAACTGGACTGGCAGAATAATAACTTAAAAAGTATTAAAAGACACAAGATACAGATGCAAGAGTCAAAATACAAAATACAGCAGGTATTATTCTACAAGCTGCATTTAAAGGTGGGCTGTTGGACTCTCCGGTGGTCGCTGTCTGGCTGATGGTTGTCCTGTGAAGCCTCAGCTCTCTGGCTGGAAGGTGTCACCAGGTCAGCAGCTCACTAACTAAATACAACTCTTTCCCAACCACAACAACAAAAATTAGATTTTAAAATATTTCTCAGAGACTATTTGCTGCATGCAGTGTTCATATATGTGCTCAGTGTAAATGGATAAAGCATTAGCAACACTGAGCTGTTGTGATTAAAGTGCAGCAGCAAGTCAAGTTTTGCTGCTTAAAAAAGGGGAAACGTGTCTTCCTGTTAGCCTGTGCTTCTATCTTACCGACGTTCCTAATTATTAGCCGTTTAGCGTCGGTTATCTGTAGCATGTAAGCTGTGTTAAACCCCAACAGAGCAGCCCGAGCTCCGTGTAGCGTGAGGTCGGTGCTTCGGGTCAGTAAAACGTGACAGGGGCGAGCACAGGCTGGCTCCGTGTTTGCTAACGTTAGCTCGCTGCTAGCCGCGCTAGCGTCTTAAAAAACGCACCTTTGCGTTAGCTTCGCTAGCTTACCTTGGCGCTCAGACGAGAAGCGGCGGGGCGGTGGTACCGACAGCTGGTTAAACACGGACGGTGTTCGGTGTTCACTGCGGGCTGAGTCACCACAAACCACCCTGGCATGGCTGCTAAAGTGAAAGTTCCTCTGGGTTACTTCAGCGACTGTCAGCAGCAGCAGCAGCAGCACGGAGCTGAAGTTAGCTTCCGATTCGACACGTAAAGTCAACGCACCGCCCCCAGCGACAGATTCACCACATAAAAAAAACAAAACACATTTTATTGATATAAAACCGTGTTAGGTATTATATAAACAAAAAAAATGAATAAATAAATGATGCGGCCCGAAACTCACTTTCACGATTGTGGAACTTTATTCTAGTTGAAAATGCAAAAACCCTCCAACCCTGTCCCAGAGGGGTTAAAGGTTGTTTGAATCAGGTTTGTACATTTGTGAATCTTTAACCCTTTTTGAGATTTTACTGCCTTTTTTTTTTTTTTTAAAGCTTTTGAGCTAGTTTAACGTACTCAAGATGCAAAAGTCCTGATATAGACTAACCAATTGGTGGTAAAGATTATTTAAAGCTCTGTTTCTGATTTGTAAACACTGTCTCTGGCTTGGAAAGGAAAAAGAAAAAAAAAGGGCGATATCACTGTTGTTTCTGCATCTGAACCACATTAAAACAGGTCCAAATCTAAAACTAACATAATAACATGGATCAAATCTGGACAGGATCGTCCTATAGAGGCTAAAGATTATGTAAAGCCCAGTTTATGATTTGTGGGCTCTTTATTCTGTTTGTGAAAATGCATAAAAGCAACTTTTCTCCACATCTGGACCAGATCTAAAACCAATATACGAGTATATAGAGAGGTCAAATTCTAACTAGATTTTCCTACAGAGACTAAAGACATGAAAACACATGTTCTGATTTGTGAAACCAGCCTTCTGTTTATAAAAATGCAAATTAAAGTGAGATTTTAGGGTTTGTTGTGCATTCAGACCACATTAGACCAGATCAGATCTAAAACCACCATATAGCCATTAGAAGGGTCAGTTCAGGACTAGGTAGGTTGTCACTGAGAGGCTAAATGTTGTCTAAGGCACAGTTTCTGATTTATTAAAATCAAAATAAATGGTGTTTGTGAAAATGCAAAAAGGGAGAATTCACTCTGGACCACAATAAAACAAGTCCAGATCTATAACCACCATATCAGTGGGTCTGATCTGGACTCGATTGGGCTAAAGATCGTTTAATAAAAGTTTCTGATTTGTGAATCCTTTATTCTATTGTGAAAAAACATATAAACAAAATAAACTTCACAGCTGTTTTTGCAGTGGTCACATCTAAACTACATTTTTCTACAGAGACCAAGGACTTAGTGGAACCTGGATTCTGTTGAGAAAATGAGATCTCACTTTTTAATTGTGCGTGGACCAAACTGGACCAGATCTGGATCTAAAACCAATATATTAGGACAGGTTAAATCTGGTCTAGATTGTACTACAGCAGCTGAGAATTATGTGAAACATATTTTACATAATTCTATTTGTGAAAAAAAAGCAAAGAATCAGACAGATTTTACAACATTTTTGCACACCTGGACCACATTGCACCAGGTCCAAATCTAAAACCAGCATATAGCCAATAGATGGGTCAAATCTGGTCCAGATTGTCCTATAGAAGCTAATGATATATAAAGTACTATTTCTGATTTGTAAACATGTATTCTATTTGTTAAAATGTATAAAATTCTATATATGTCACAACTGTTGTGTGTCTCTAGACCGCGTTAGACCAGATCCAGATCTAAAACCCCCCACTATACAGATGAGTTATATCGGGACTAGAACGTCCCTGAAGGATTAAAGGTTGTTTAAAATGAGTTTCTAAATTTGTGAGTCTTTTACTCTGTTTCTGCAAATGCACGTACATTTTATTTTACAGCTTTTTTAAAAGACCAAATTTAATGTGGTTTAGAAGCAAAAAAACAACAACAAAAAAACTCACATTTGTATTTTTTTAATTTGTATTTTTACAATGAAAAAAAAAAAGGATTCACAAATTTGAAAGTGGGTTTTTGATGGCACTGAGTTTTTACCCAACATGGTTTTTCAGCAGGGCTGCAAGGTGGTAGTAGTAGTTGGTAGCATCGTTACCTCACAGCTTGAAGGTCGCTGGTTCATGTCCTGGTGAGGACACCCGGGATCTTTCTGTGTGGAATCTCCATGTTCTCCCCGTGCAGCGTGGGTTCTCTCCGGGTTCTCCAGCTTCCTCCCACACAGTCCAGAAACATGTTGAGGTTAATTGGTGATTCTAAATTGTCCGTAGGTGTGAATGTGAGTGTGCTTGGTTGTCTGTCTCTAAGTGTAGCCCTGTGATAGACTGGTGACCTGTCCAGGTGAACCTGCCTTCACCCTGAGTCAGCTGGGATAGACTCCAGCCCCCCATGACCCTAGTGAGGATTAAGCGGTGTATAGATAATGGATGGATGGATGTTCAGCATTAAAATGTAAAAAAAAAAAAGTGGAGAATCTGTCATTCGGTGCTCCAAGTTCAGTTTCCCTTAACTTTCCCCTGAACCGTTGAATCAGAAACCAACTTCAGTGCTCTGCTCTGTAAGGTCACGTGTCCATTTCAAAACAGCTTTAAAGTGTTTGTGTGTGTGTGTGTGTGTGTGTGTTTGCTGCAGTCAAAATCCTAGTTTGTTTGTTAGTGTGGGCCCACAATTACAATCAATACATGAAACCTTGATAAAGACAAATAAAAACCCTCCAAACACAATAAAAAACAACAACACACACCAGAATGAAGAATAACAATTCGTTTAATATAAACAAAAAAAGTGAATATACAGCAGGTACTGTAATAATTTAATAATAATTCTTCGTTTAAGGCTGAAGCCGGCGCCGACTACTGAAGCTCTCTACGGAACAGATCGTATTGGCCTGTTAAAGGTTTGGCATGTTACTGGTGAAACACTTGTGAAACACGGTTTTGTTTTTTTATTGTCAGCCTTTAGTCATGAACATTTCTGAGAACACCTGGACATGAAGAACAGCATGGAGTGATCGATACCATCGTGGCGGTCAAACACAATCAGACGTCTCGCCTGGATGGAGGAAACCGACTACGACATTCAAAAAGCGGCCGATGAAGACCAAAGAATGCAGGATTATCAAAAACGAACCAAGTGTTTGACAGCGTCGTAAATGAAAGATAATTGACTTCACTGCCTCGGTTTAAGTACCACAGCATCTCTACTTCATATAATGCCATTAAGAAGCTCAGGATTCAGGCTGAGCTGCTCGAACCACACTAGATTCTTTCCAGCATCGCCTTCGGAGCCGTTTGATTTTGAGGCAGATCTGCAAAACTCAAAAAGAAAATGAGAAGTTTAAAAAGGCTAATGATTGTCGTTTCTCTCAAACACGCTGTGCTTATAATTATCACTGGCAATGAAGGTAGGTGAGAGGTCACACACGCGTTAATATTAAACCAAAAAACACACAAAGAAAAGCAGCAACACTGTCGTAAAAATAAACCTGGATAATGTCACAGATACAACAGCAACCTAACGTGAATTAAATATAAAACACAAGCACGCCTGACGGTACAGTACATTAATGCTCGTAACAAAAAGGCATCATCATCATCATCGTCCTTCAGTACCAACGGGCCTCATTTAAACACATCTGCAAAAGGAATGATCCTGTTCAACTGAAGCAATCCCACATTTTTTATTTTTTTACTACTTGTTATAACTCTATGTGGTTTTTACAGTGACTGCGGGTGTCGAATTAAATGTTTCATACATGATCACACAATCTCGATCTGAGGCCAAAAACGTTTTAAATTTTAAAGTCTAAAATATCATAAAATTTACTCAAATTAAATCCGACCCGTTCGGCTGACGTGTGGAGGTTAAAAGCAACACTGGACAGAAGGTTTAAAATTTAAAGACAAACAGGGTGACGGATTAAAGGAAAAACCGGAATAAAAGAGCGAAAAAGCTGCTGCTGCGCTGCAAACAGGACGTCTTTAACAGTTAGTTGGAGTTCAGTATCAGCGTCTAAAGAGAAAAAGAGACGCTTGTGGTTATTTATTGGACATTTTCTACGCTGGATTTAAAGATGTTTGGTAGTTTGTTTAAACACCGTAATCGAGAATCAACTGAGCAGCTCATCAAACTGTCCAAATTGACCGTAATGTAATCGTGATGTGTATTTTTAAGCCGCGTGTGCTTCGTTTTACACCATTTCAAACCCTCACAAACTCAAAAATTGCAGCTGTGCAAACATCGATTCAGTCCGTGAAGGTTGAGTGTGGATTGAGGCCTACAGTGAGGGGATCCGGTGGTTCTGTTCTGCTGTGGGGGGGCGTTTTGTCGGCATGGTTTGGGTCCAAAATTACTCAGAGAAGAGACAATATCAAGATCTCTTATTTACCGACAAAAGACCTGAGATAATTGCCTCCGCAGAGATAAGTACCTGAATTTCTTACCAAAGTTTTTATATTCTTGTTAAATCTCACTTCCAGTCTCCTTCCCCCTCAGGCTCTTTCTACCAATTAGAGTCCTCCATGTATGACTGCTGCTGGTTTGGGCCGTCCCATAGAAGATTAAGTACCTGCTACTCTTTGTGTAGAAGACCGGGAGTTTCAGGGGCTTTCTGGTGTAACCCTGATGATACGTCTCCAGGGAATCAACAGCAGCTCGACTTTTGTCTCTTTAAGAGGGACGAGTTACTGCAAATCAATACAAAGCTCTTCTGACTGATCAGTTTGATCCTCTGATGGGAGCGGTTTATTCCAGGATGCCTCCATCTTTAGGACACAGGGGCTCACATGTGAATTTTATGGGCTGCAGGGTGGCTCGGTGGTTAGCACCGTTGCCTCGCAGCTAGTTCGCGTCCCGGTGAGGACACCTGGGAACTTTCTGCTCGGAGTCACATGTTCTCCCCGTGCAGCGTGGGATAGGCTCCAGCCTCCCGCAACCCCAGTGAGGAGATTAAGTGGATGGATGTGAATTTTATGCTCTAGGCTTAACAAATCTCAACCCGACTGAACCCATATGGGAGATTTTGGACCCTTATTATCATCAAAACACCAAATGGGGGAACATCTCTTTGATAAATGGTGTTTCATTCCTCCAGTAGAGTCTCGGAGAATCAAGTTTTGGTGGCCAAACACCTCATCAACACACTTATCTTGATTTTTCCTTTAATTTGTCACCCGTCTGGACACGGAAGCTGATTTAAAAACTGGCCATCTGATTCATAAAAGACCAAGAAGGAAAACTGACACCCAGTCGGTTCTCCTGCCTTCATTATTAAACACAACCTGAAGTGAATCACAGTACCGACTACTTGCTACTCTCAGATCTACGTCTAAACACGACCCACAGTTACCAGTTACTGCCAACCGGCTCAGCTGACTGGTTGGAGCTCAAACTACGGGCTTTAAGGAGTTGATTGTACAGTGCAGATTTATTAGCCTGAACTAGACGTCTACTCACAAATTGGTTCTTTAATCTGAAAACAGGGGAGGAGGACTAAAGCCGATCTTATTTAAAACAGCAAAACAGTGTCAGACTAAATAAAGAAAACAACAAAAGTATTGTAGTTGCCTGGTTTATACTATTTTTTTTCCCTTGTAGGACAACTGCTAAAACAAATCTGCAAAAAAATAGAATCTGTAGATTTCACTAAAAGGATGATCTCACAAACATTCATCATCCTTTTGTATCACAGCGTGTACATTTAACTCGAGATGACCAAGAACAGTATAAGTGAACCCAGATGGCACAGCTATGGTTAGTTATACTGTAACAGTCCATTAATACAGAGCGACCGCGAGTAGTCCCACAATCACTGTGCAGCGCTGCGGGCTGCAGCGGCGTCATCAACACAACATCCACGGGATATCCACTGGACTTCATTTTCACAGGGTTAAAGTCAGAGGTCTCTCTCCGGGCTACCTCAGTGACAACACTCGTAGAAGATCTCAGATGCTGTGGTTCCTTCCGCTCTGACTTTTGATTTTAAATGTTTAAAAGTACAGCCCTGATGTGAAAGCCTCGGCTCTACCTCTTGTAGTGGCTCGGTGCGTCCGCGAACATGTACTTGAGTCTATAAGCTTCAGCCAGGAGGAGGCCCACCTCCTCGTTGCCCCAGTGGATTGTGGGAAGGTTCTGCAGTAGCATGAGAAGGCCCTGAAGAGGAAGAGAGAGTCGCTTAGAGGTGCTGACAGAACTGTAGACGGTGGGTATGTAAAGAATTTCACAGCATAGACACTATGAGTTAAACTCTACCTGTTAAAGTGGAACATTTTGTCCTCCAACGATTTGAAATCAAACCTGAACATCCCTGATCTAGACCTCATAAGTCAGTTTTCAGATGCTTTAACCCTCTAAACTCCAAAAATAAAAGGTACATTATCTCTAAAAACAAGAAAACTGCCCAAAAAAATAGAATTCTCAACTTTCAGACAGTCCTTAAAATGCGGGGCCGACCGCACTGCAAGCCCACTGACTGAACATACATATGTCTTACTTCAAATCGTCATTTCTGCCATTTGACATGAAATTTTACTTCTTGAAGTGGAACATTTTGTCCACCAAAGATTTGAAATCCAGCCTGTACATCCCTGATCCAACCTCCACACCTCAGCAGTGATTATTCAGCTGCTTCAAAACTCGAAAACCCCAAAAACTAGTTAAAAAATCCCTCCAAAATTAGATTTTTTCCTTAAACTACTCATCTTCGAGGTGTGAGTCTGTCAGGAAAACTGGCTGAATAGAAGCTCAAAATCTTGATATTTAAATATATTTAACATGTCTCAACTAAACATTAGTAAAATATTTGCTCTAACCAGATTTAGTTAAAAATATATAAAAAATAAAATTCTGTGTTCTTCAGCACAGCCTTGAAACAATTATTAACTCGACTGCAACCAACAGTTGTGTGACAAAGTTCAGACTTGGCGGCTGAACTGCAGGCTGTGTTTATGTAGAGCAGATACGAAACAAGCATGGAAACAAATTAAAAATCTAACTAGTAAAGCAAATGAGTATTTTTTCCCAGTATTGGTAACACCTGTGGGCACCTGGACAAATGTTGATTCCAATTTTATGACTTTTTGTAAGACAAAAAATCAAAGAAATGCAACTTTCCTTTTTTCATTTTTATGATTTCTTGCATTACAACTATGTCACATTGAAAGAAAGACATCTCTGAGTTCTCTCTCCTTCTACATGGTTGTTCTGTTTCCTCAGAGGTGCAGGACTTTATATTGATGGAGCATAAAAAAAGGGTTCAGAGGGTTGTATGTTTAGCACTATTTGCTTTCTCAGGTGAGACTGAATACATTCACAGACGCAGGTACCTGAAAGTCAACCATGGAGAGGATTTCTTTGCGCCATTCAATGAGGAAAGCAGCACAGACGTACAGGTGGAAGTGGGAGAATCCCTCAGCTTCAGCCTGTGGAAACAGAACAAGCTTCAAACTTCAACGGTTGCAAAAAGGTTTAAATGAGTGCAGAGAAGAACTGTGGCTGTTCCAGCTCCAGATAAGGAACGCTGTGGAATGAAGCACGTTGGCTGCAGCTCGTGCTTCTCTTGACCTTGAACTACTTTCTATTGCAACGCCTCGTTTTCTTGCTAGAGTTTAAACATCCAGCATCGTGTAGCAGTCGCCTGGAAAACGTTTCATTCATTTGCTGTACATCATTTTCAGTGTTCAGCCTCTTGTCATCCATGTTTATACAGCTACGCTGACCTCAGCTTGACTTCTGGTGGGAGGTACAACAGCAACAGAGCCTCCCTCGCTAACAACACTCTCACTGAAAGGCAGAATTTAGGTCTATCAGATAACACTGAGAAGAGGAGCAGAGCGGAGAAAATCCTTGAAATACACTCAGTGGCAACACTGAATTAAAGATCTAGTGTTTTCTACACAAATGAATTGTGTTTTTTTTAGTGTCAGAAAGGGAAGAAAAAGTGTCTCATTAACACCTGGTGAACATCAGTCTCCTCCAAACTCAACCTGATCACGAACAGACGGTTGATTAAACAATATAAAACACATTTCTTAGACATGATTTGCTTTGTTTCAGTTTCACCCTCATCGTCATCGATGTAGCTTCAAAGAAGATGAATGAAAAACCCTGATGAGTGAGTTAGATTGATAATCAAATACTTGCAATATATAAATATTTGATTTAAAATACATTCAAGACATCGTGTAGTGTGTGTTGTCACTCTGGCCCAGTCGCTAGATACAAGTGCTTGTGTGTATTAATCAGCTGATGCCGATGTTAGGGTCACTTCTAAAGGCCTGCTTTTAACATTGTGGTATTATGATGAGTTAAAATCACCTTTCAGGTATTTTTACTCCTTTCTAAACTACCCTACAGGGGTTGGAGCTCAAGATTTCTTAAAGAGCTGATAGAAGGCACATTTGCAGTTTTCCTCGATTTCTTTTTCTTTTTTTTTTAAGTTATTTTTTGGCCTTTACTAGATAGGACAGATGAGAGAGAGAGACAGGAAAGTGGGGGAAGGAGTTGCAGCAAAGGGCCATGAGCGGGATTGGAACCCATGGCCGCTGCATCGGGGTCCCTGTACATGGGTCGCCAGCTCAGCCAGGTGAGCTAAAGCCCCTCACTTCATTTTTAAACTAGTTTTATAGCTTCATGATCTCATTCCATCACTGTACAGCTGACGGGGGACGCTCTGCTCTACCTGGTAGGTGTCCCAGAGACGAATAGTGCAACGAAGTGGCAGCTCCCTCATCAGAAGATTGTTCATCCACCGGAAAGCGAACTGCAGGTACTCCACTTCATACCTCTTGAAATGATTGTGAATGTCCTCTGGAGACACACAACACACACAAACACATGTGAAACCCGTGGGTCTCCCACTGCTGCTGTTGGCTTGTCTCTCCGTCGTCCACACGCGTGAACAAACTCACCATCGATCCTGCTGACCAGCTCCTCTAAAGCTTTCACCTTGTTCTGAATCCCAGGCTGGGCGAAGGTGTAGTTGTCCTGAAAGGAAATGCATCTCAGTAAAGTGGCACAGCTTTAAATAGGTGTTGAGTGAGACGTGTGCACGAGACCAGACCTGAATTCCATCCAGCAGCTTGCTCATGCACCAGAAGCTGTCGGCTTCGATGTTTCTCTGGGTGTCCAGAGGCAGCGCTGCCACCTCGAAGTTCTCCACGTCCTCCGCTGGAACAACAAAGAACACTGAGTGAATCTTATCAACATTAACTGGAGACTTCTGGATGTTTTTAAATATATTTTTGGGGCTTTTTTGCCTTTATTTAGAGCAGTAGCGAGAAAGGGGGGAGAAGAATGGGAAGAGACCTGCAGCAAAAGGTTGTGAGCGGTAGTCGAACTCATGACTGCTGTGACGGGGAACTAAAGCCTCTGTTTATGGGTTGCCTGCTCAACTAGGTGAGCTATAGAGGCGCCCCAGGCCTTATAACAGCTTAAACAAAAGACAGAAGCTGACACCAGTTGTTTTGGTCCAGTTTCACTCTATGCAGGAATTTCCACAAAAGCTAACTTACTGACAAACTCGGACAGGAAGACGACGAAAAAGGGCGTGACCAGATCGTTGATGCCCTGGACGTAACCGCTGGCCGGGTGACGGATGGCCCAGATGAAGAGGATCCGCTCAAACACCTGAAGAAAAACGACAAAGCAGCTGATTACTGACTATTTTACAACACTGTGTAAAACCCTTAATGCAGGCAAACACAATGCAATTATGTAGAGTCCTAACTTTTAAGTGCAAAACACAGAATCAGATCCACAAAACATACATTTCTCCTCAGTGTGGGCTCATTTTTCACTGCAACATAAAGTTCTGCACCTCTCTGGAAACAGCACAACCATGACTAGAATAAAAAAAGAGGTATTTAAGACTAATTATCTATCTATCGTGACTGAATTTAGTCAAGTTTCCAGTAAATCTGGACACGAATCTTTGGTGCCGCACCACATTTGAGGAACAAGCTGTGATCAGTCGAGTTCCTTTTTAACTGCATATTTCCTCCAGAGTGAAGTAATCTGATGCAGCTTCTTCCTCAATGACTGTCAGATAAACCACAGCGCAGCGCTGTGACATTAACAGTCACTCAGTTATCAGTTTGTAAAACAGACAATCAAAGAAATTCTGCTTTTGCATTTTCTTTGTTTATGATTTGTATTTCTGTTCTGCTTGCATTAGGCTACGCAGCAATATTCTTTATCGTGGTTTAACTTGTCAGACCTGCTCAATCAGTCATTAAAGTTTGGTGAAAGTATATTTTTGTGACCAAGTATTTTATATTAAAAAGTACTCTATATGTTTTGTGTTGTTGTGACATGCAGCTGCACATGGTTCAGCAAATATTCAAATCACACACAATCAGGGATTTTTGTTTCCATTTATTTGTCCAGTGCTGCAGATTCTGAATCAAAGACGTGATGAGAAATAACAGTGAACATTTCTGGCTTTAACCTCTGATAGTTCCTGAGATGTTGTCGTTTAAACAGCCTCAAATTTCAATGTGTGAAAAAAGGTGTTGAAAGTGGGTGGACGGGAAAATTTAAAAAAAAATGTTTATCTCATAAAATATCTGAAATATCACAGGAAAGTTTCACAAATGTCTACATACTTTACAAAAACTTCAAGAGCTGGTCTCTTTAAACATTTTGTATATAAATGACTTGGAGGCAAAAACATCAGTCTGTAGATGTTTTGAAAGATGATTTTTTTTTTGCTAGTTATGTTTATGATCTCTGCTGATTTCTTATCTTCTAAATGGAATTTCACCGTGAATTATGACGTCTGTGTGGATGCTGTTGTGACCTCGTCTGTCTGTGGTTGTGCTGCTGCCTGTCTTGGCCAGGACACACTTGAAAAGGAGGTTTTTAGTCTCATGGTTAAATAAAGGTGAAAATATATATAAATCCCTGCAAATCAGAAATTGTTGAGCAGGAACTGGTCTGAAAATGTGATGATTTGACAGAAGCTTTTCTAACATGTTCAGTAGTNAATAAATTAAATATAAAAGTAAATAAATGGTAAACGAGAATAAAACAAACAAATGAAACTTATAAATAATAAACTATATATCCTACACAAATGAATGCAGCTTGAAGTTATCCCTGAGCTCCACTAGTCAAGTTACCCATCAGTAGCATTTATTTATCTATTTTAATATATATATATTTTGGTCTCTTTGTCTTTATTTAGAGCAGTCGAGACAAGACAGGAAAGGGGGAGAAGACCTGCAGCAAAGGGTTGTGAGCGGGAGCTGAACTCATGACCGCTGCATCGGGGAACTAAAGTCCCTGTTTACGGGTCGCCCGCTCGACGAGGTGAACTATAGGGACGCCCATCAGTAGCATCTTTATGATAAATGAACTGAGTCGACTTGGTTTCATCTGGTCTGACTCTGTCCTGATGCTCAGCGCTTGAAACATCAACAGGCTGAATATTCAGACGCTTAAAAAAAAGGTCCAGGTGACTCGTGTATGCCCTGACTAGCTATTATTATTAGTTTATTTCTTTTCACTTTATATTTTTTACTACAGTACATTTGTGCATTTGGCACTCTACAGGCATTTTAACTTTAGTACATTTTTACTCATCGTGTATTTTACACTTTATACTTTAATATATTCGTCTTCTTTCTTTTTACCTTGCTGTCCCAGATATTTCTACTATTATTTGTTTGTATTTGTATTGTAATGGTGGTAACATTACTCTCTCTGTTTGCTACTGTAACAACAGAATTTCCCCTCAAGGATCAACCAAGCATTTTTGTTCTATGTTATTCAGTTCTACTTAGACTGCTATGAACATCCAGAAACCCAAACCAGAGTTCTAAGGCAAAGCTCCCACAGCTTGGAGCTACTGTAACTGACTCAAACCTGTTCTCATGAACATTTCTGCAAAATAAAAGATCTCATGCGTCTGTGTAACATTTATTTTTTATGTCCAATAAGTGAAGAAGACATCTGCAGAGACTCCTGTTTGGATAAACACCAGACAGTTTGGCTCTGGACACATGAACCCTNTCTTCACATAGTAATCAGTGGATTAGGACTTCTATTCTATGGTGAATATTGGGCATTTCTTTTCTTTTCTTGTCTGCAAGTGAACAAACAGCACCTAAAATTTTAAACATAGTCGAGGCTGTTTCTGTCGTAAACCTGGATCTAAAAAGGTCTCAAGAAAAGAAACCAACAGTGTTTGTTTTCATTAATCATCCCACTCAGTATCAACAGATTCAACAGTCAGAGCTGAATCCTGACCCGACCAGAACTTGACACGCAGCTTTATAATCATCACTTCCTGCTCTGTTAGTGTGGTAACCTCTCCTCCCTCTGTGGTCCTGTAGGAAGTCTGACTTGTTTCCAGTGAGGCTGACGGGTCAGAAGGTTCTTACGATCGCAGTGATCACCTGGTTAAAAGTGAACCCGCTTCATGACACCACAAAACCTGAGCTGAGCCTACAGGCAGCAGGAAAGCCCTCTAATCTCTCATGAGCTTCATTTGTAATCTGACAGACGAGCCAAAACAAGCCAAAAAATGCAACTTATGAAGCACTGAGATACGTGAGGCTCCAGTCTTACCTCTTGTACTGCAGGCTGCTGGAACAAGGGAATCAGAGGGTTGGTTCTTGGAATGTCGATGTGGATCTGACAGGAGCAAACATTACCGAGATGTTACTCAGATGATCATCACAGCAGGGAACTGGATTGTTTCCTCTAAAACCTATATTTGTTGACTGTCTCTGCAGTGCTCGTACCTGTCTGTACGTGTCCTTATAGTGCTCGTCTGTTCTGGAGTGGTAATACTGCTCTATGAACCCGAAATACTCGTCTCGCTTCCGTTTCAGCACCAGCTCTCTGCGCTCTTTGTTGGCCGGCAGGTAGCCCTGGAAGAGAGCGAGGAGAGGAGTGAAAGTACAGCAGAGAGACCCTCCTGTTTTGGGGGGATTTTCAGAGGAGCTGGCCGGCCGTTTGAGATAAGAGCAGGGAGGAGATAAGGTCGGCTGTGAAGATAAGGCTTTTGATCTTATGTGAGTGGATGGACTGTAAGACGCTACGCAGAGGCTAGAACATGTAGCTGACATTAATGAGACAGAATGTTGTGTAAAGAGGCGAGAAAACAGGAAAGAACTGAAGCCTTACAGAGAGAAGCCTCCACGTGATGGGCCGGACCTCTCGCGGTATTCCTGACCAGCTGTGTTTCCGGAGTTCTTCTACAAAAGCACAGATACAAACAGCCAAAGTCAACGTTCTGTCTGTACGGACGCCACAGAGACTAACTCAGCTGGCTGTAACCCAGACTGAGCCGTCAGCCTCCCCGTGTATCCTATAACACTGTGAAGCCCTTTTCAGACATGAGATACGCAACATCGCGGTTTCATCAGTCTGCTGAAGTGACGGCATTCTGTCATTCAGACGTAGGTCACTTTAACGTTAATGTTTGGCTTTGTTCAGACGCCGCAGGGACGAAGAAAGTCACGCGATATGTGTCCTTCACACAGCAATGAATATTAAATGTTGTACAGTACATTAAAAAAAGCACCAACAAACTTAACTAGAAGCCTAGTTTATTTAACGTTGTCTAATCACTGAAAATCCTTCTACTACTTTACCGACAGTAAATAAAAGATGCTGGTTTGTTCCTGATGAAGGTCAAGCGCTGAGGCTTTGTGAATAAATACATTTCTTCAAGTTAACACAGTGTGTAGAAGTCTGCTTGATGTGTCTGGAAATGTTCGTCCCTTTCCCATGACATTAATGTGCAAAGGGTTCTTTGGTCTGTAAAGTTTTGCAGCAGAAGTTCTCCAGGTTATTATTTCATTTAGATTGGAGACCCTTTATTTGCCTTCAGAAAATGTTCCCTCAATAATAAACTCTGTTGGACCACAAAACTAGAGGTTTTTGAAATTAAGGGTTGAATTAAGTGGACTGACCTGTACGTCCATCATTTATTTGATCTGTTTGTGTTCTGGGCTACATATTTAAACTCAGGTACAGCTTTGGTATTAACTGGTAGAACATCATGAAAAAGTTTTATGTTTTTCTGTCAGTTATTTATCAGATTTACTTTTCATAGTCTGTAGAAGTAAATCCTACTTTTCATTGATCCTAAGGGAATATTCTTGTAATTTAAGATACTAGATTTTGTTTTTTTTTCTAATAAACTATAAATCATAATTATCAAAATTAAAATAAATAAAGGCTTGAAATATTTCACTTTATATGTAACAAATCTGGAGAAGTTTTTAACTTTCACATTGCTGAATAACTGATAGAAAACCTTAAACATTAAACCACTAGTATATGTGTCATGTACAACAGTGTCAGTACGAGCTCTATTTCATTTTCATTTCATTTTCCAGGTGCGATATAATATTTAATTTCATTTTCTCATGATCATGTGTGACCTTAGTTATTACCCCGTATAATTACCAGCATTACTTTACACTGTTCTATTCTAGTCATATTTTTACTTACGTCTTTATAACTTTTTACTTTTCCGTGGTGCATTCCTTATGTGATGTCATTTGTTTTTTTCTGGACATTATTTGGCACAAAAAATTTCCTTTGGGATTAATAAAGTTTTGTCTGATCTTACCTAATATTTAATAAACTGAATTTCCAGAAAGAAGACAGAATCAGACAAGGTGTTTGTCCGTGCTGTTTCATATCTTACCGAGGTCAGTGTTGGGACTCGCCAGCAGCTGCCTGAATTTGTCCAGCCGGCTCTTCTCGCGCACCGTCATGGGTGGAGCTCCGGACGCGTTCTGGTCCGAGATGCGAGCCACCAGCGGGATGATGGGACGGACCGGGAGAGACTGCTGCTTCTGCAGCGTGGAGCGAACTGTGGTGGAGGAGAAATCAGACACTTCAATGATGTGGTAGTAAAAAAACTCTACTTTGCAGGTAGGGCAAAAAGTTGCATATAGCATAATTATTTTTAATGATCTCTGCAATGTAAATATTTATTTATTTATTTATTATACTCCTCAACTTGTTCTGTTTAAGAAACCTACTATACTAGATGAGATGTATTCATTCATAAGTCCCAAAATAATAATAATAATATTGATTTAATAGATTTACAAAATAAATCAATACAAGACCCAGATAAAACTAACAAAAGCACCAAAAGTGCCTTATCTAATTAAGGAAAAACTGAAGTGGATGAAAGGTAAACAGAGGGTAAAACCATAAAACAAGGTTAAATGTAAAAATGATAAAAATTAGAATAGTACCAGTGAATAATAAATTAAATATAAAAGTAAATAAATGGTAAACGAGAATAAAACAAACAAATGAAACTTATAAATAATAAACTATATATCCTACACAAATGAATGCAGCTTGAAGTTATCCCTGAGCTCCACTAGTCAAGTTACCCATCAGTAGCATTTATTTATCTATTTTAATATATATATATTTTGGTCTCTTTGTCTTTATTTAGAGCAGTCGAGACAAGACAGGAAAGGGGGAGAAGACCTGCAGCAAAGGGTTGTGAGCGGGAGCTGAACTCATGACCGCTGCATCGGGGAACTAAAGTCCCTGTTTACGGGTCGCCCGCTCGACGAGGTGAACTATAGGGACGCCCATCAGTAGCATCTTTATGATAAATGAACTGAGTCGACTTGGTTTCATCTGGTCTGACTCTGTCCTGATGCTCAGCGCTTGAAACATCAACAGGCTGAATATTCAGACGCTTAAAAAAAAGGTCCAGGTGACTCGTGTATGCCCTGACTAGCTATTATTATTAGTTTATTTCTTTTCACTTTATATTTTTTACTACAGTACATTTGTGCATTTGGCACTCTACAGGCATTTTAACTTTAGTACATTTTTACTCATCGTGTATTTTACACTTTATACTTTAATATATTCGTCTTCTTTCTTTTTACCTTGCTGTCCCAGATATTTCTACTATTATTTGTTTGTATTTGTATTGTAATGGTGGTAACATTACTCTCTCTGTTTGCTACTGTAACAACAGAATTTCCCCTCAAGGATCAACCAAGCATTTTTGTTCTATGTTATTCAGTTCTACTTAGACTGCTATGAACATCCAGAAACCCAAACCAGAGTTCTAAGGCAAAGCTCCCACAGCTTGGAGCTACTGTAACTGACTCAAACCTGTTCTCATGAACATTTCTGCAAAATAAAAGATCTCATGCGTCTGTGTAACATTTATTTTTTATGTCCAATAAGTGAAGAAGACATCTGCAGAGACTCCTGTTTGGATAAACACCAGACAGTTTGGCTCTGGACACATGAACCCTGCTCATGACTTCAGACGCTGCTGAACGGAGGGACGCTGAACCGACCAGTTTGGAGACTGAATCTCACACATTGTCTGACAGTGAAAGGTTTAAATCCTGCTCACAGGCAGTTTTAATTTCGCAGAGAGCGGGTGCAAGTCTTACAGCTGCCAGCTTACAACAGATAACGGACACGAAGCCTTCGGGTGTTAACTAAGAAACGCATTAGCCGTGTTCGTACAAAGTTCCTCTGGGAAATATGGTATCTGAGTGTGAAGAAAGTGTCTGGTTGGTGGATAAAAACGGGTCTATGGTAGGTTGAACTGCCCAGAAAGTTGTTCAAATGATGCAAAACTGTCATCAGTCAAAGATGATGGAAGTGCTCAGTTCCCCCTCTGAAATACAGAATCTAGTAAAGCAGCGTGGAAGAGATGGAGTTTTAATTCCACAGCTTTAAGGCCCTCATTAGAGTGACATCAACCATTTGTGCAAAGTGCTACTGTGTTGTCTGCATCACTAAAACTCACCAGAGCATTTAGTGAAACGTTTTCAGGAGCGTAACATGTCCTGACACACACATGCTAAAGGCCTGATATAATCCCAGCAGCCCCGACTGCAGCGTGAGGTCCCTCCTGACAAAGTCTGTAATTAGCTTCCCTATGAATCAGCTGCTAAGCCGCTCAGTCGCTCCTAAAGCAGAACCAACGGCTGCAGCGTGTTCACCGCATACCTGAGGATGTGTTGAGGTGTGCGTCACTGCTGGACTTGATAACCTTCCCGTTGACATGCTCGCACTCAGCATCCTCCTCCTGCACATCCTGGAGGTTTTCAGCTTGTGTCACGGGTGATGGCGGTCTGTGTGATGCTGCACTTTCTGTGTCGCCTGCTTCATGCTGCTGCTGCTGCTGCTGCTGCTGCTGCTGCTGCTGCTGAGAGGACACAAAACATGAGAACGTCTCTTTGTATTTCACACCACCAGCTCAAGGCCAGCTACTGCTCAGTGGTACCTGGTTCTGTGCGGATGACGTCGAGTGCAGGCCCGATGGAGTCGGCGAAGGGTTCCTGAGGAAATCTTCGTCCTCCTCATCGTCGATGTCCCAAGCATCGTTGGTGCTGCGAGCAAACTCGTGGAAGCTGGACGCCTTTTTAGTCTTCAGATTGTTGAACTTGGGCTTTGTGTCTTTGGGATACCTGCAGAGGGGCAGATAAGAGATGGAACAGACAAAAGGAAAAAAATAAAATCAGGAACTGATTGATCTCACTTGTGGCAGCACTGGACGTTAACGCTCTGAACCCCAAACAGTGTCTGACCGTTTCCTGCTCCTGTCACAGTTTTACTCACTGTTGTGTTTTTCGTTGCAATATAAAGTCATGCACCTCTATAGAAACTGAACAACCATGACTGGAAGTAGAGCGAACTCAGAAATGCCTTTTGGTTAGCATAACAACTAGTGTCATAAATCATCTCTACCGACACTGGAAAAATAGTTGATTCAACATCCTATAGATCAGCGGTTCTCAAACTTTTTTGAGCCACGACCCCCAAAATAACATAAGTTTGTGTTCATGACCCCTCAAATTAGAATTTTTAATATCTCATTAGTAATAACTTAGTTTTTCATGTATTAACGTGTTAAAATTAATGTGTTAATTCCACAGATGAATCGCTTTACATTAACACGTTAGTTTTCTTTTGAATTCATGAATGATTTGAATTAATTTTGAACAAACGAAACGGGAAAAAAATATATAAAAACTAAAGAAAATAATTTTAAAAAGAATAATAATATCACATAATCAAATCATAATATTTGCAAGTTCAAAAAAGGAGTGGGAAGAAGTAAACACTTTTCATTTTGACAGCCCTAATGCACATTTATTTGATAAATGTAGGCTATTTTTTTTTTTTTTTTAAATGATCTAGCGACCCCCTGAAACTATCTTGGGACCCCTATGGGGGTCCCGACCCCCAGTTTGAGAACTACTGCTATAGATAAACTTTCAGTTTGTTTCCAGAGTTGACTCCTGTCTGCCCTGTGCAAACACAGCCTGCAGTTCAGCTGAAAAGCTACACAATTTTTGTCACGCGACTGTTGGTGACAAATGGCTTCATGGTTATGCCAAACAGCGCAGATTTTATTTAATTGTTTGTGTGTGTGTGTGTGTGTGTGTGTGTGTGTGTGTGTGTGTGTGTGTGTGTGCTGTTGTTTTTTTCTCCCCAAATAATCCTGGTGCGAAAGATTGATTTTTGGCAAATTTTGAAACACGACATGTAAAATGATGGAACAGCACGCCACAGTTAAGTACTTCAAAGGCCGCAACAAAATGTTTAAAATCGGACAATTCTTTATGTATTTACACTTCCTGGCTGTGATAAATGGTGTGATTTGGGTGAGTTTTTATACGACTACATGCCTTTCATACCTGCTGGTGAGTTTTGGGGTTCAGAGCATTAATATAAACAGAACTTAACGATAATATTACCAAAATGGGTGACAACAACAACGACAACAACAGCAAAGAACAAACAAACAAACCAAACAAAAAAAACCAAAACTGCAATTCCAACACAAAACACTAGAAGTCTTTTGGTCACACTGGAACAGCACCGGTGCATGCAGTCCACACATGTTCAGGTAGTCGAAGCAAAAGAACAGCTACGGTTAAACATGGCAGCAACAAATAAAATGCATCCATGCTGGTATTCAGCACTTACGTGCGTCGCAATCGGGGGTCGAGAGGTGGATGCTGTGCTCCATAAACTGGCTGCACGCTGCAGAAGATAACAAACGCTGTCACCTCTGTGCAGAAAAACACATGCAGCTCTCCGGCGTTTGACCCAGATAGCAGCCAAACACAGACAGATTGTAATGCTCAGAGACGTCAAACACTCCTCACACGTGCTGCTGTTTCTTCATGTTTTCTCTAGTTTCAGGAAGATGCTTTAAGTTTAGTTCACTTACTGAGCAACAAACAACGAGGTGGATATAGTCACAGCCAATCCGATGCACAACACATATGCAGTTATTAAAATAATGACAACAAAATGTAAGCAACACAGAAATTCTGCACAAAGCAAATCTGTCAGTAGCCTTTATGGGCGGTTGCTGTGTGTGTTGGTGTCGTGCTGGCAGTGCAGCAGCCTTTGCTGACCACAGCATCAGAGAATAACATAAATGCATGAGTGGTTCTAATCACATGTACAGCTTCATTCAGCCGGTGTGAGAACGGATAAGAAACACTTCCACCAGCAGCCACCACACCTGCTGGGTGTTTGCTGACGTCTCCTTGATATCTGGAGCATCCCTACGAACGTGTTTTGATTCCGTCTCAATGAAAGTGTTTTTGAATGATTCTGCAAAGCGTGAAACTCGGTGGGTGGGAGTTTCAGCGTTAGCCCTCCACTGACAGATGACGGTTCCTCTGTTTCATTAAATATCCCAGTGTTATTTAGAGTGGGCTGTTTTTTTAGTGGTGAGCGAACAGCTTGCGGAGCTCCAATGTTCTTCACCTCCCCGCGGTGGGCAGTATGTTCAGCGGATGCGAGAATCTTAATGCTCAGCTTCTGTCCAACTCTCTGGCGGCCCGGCGGAGAGGCAGCGGTAGGACGGGAGCTGGGCCAGACTCACAATTGCCAACAAAGCGCCTTTTCTTTGTTTCTTTTGCTTCACGGAGAGCCGAATCATTCTAACTCTTTTCTAAGATAAACGATTATGGGATTAAGTAATGGATGCTCAACTTGAGAGTATAATTGTGGTTACACAGCTTGGGAACTGAGGCATATCTGAATACTACAGCAGTAAACAAATATTGTGCTTTAGTATTCTTATTTATGAATGACTTTTTTTTGCACAGTTGCCCTGTAACAAACCCGTCAGTCATGATAAGCGCTTTATTCAAAGCATCTGAGAGGCTTGTATATCACAGAGCAACAATTATGACTCGTACTCTGTGCATTGTGTCAAACCGTGCCTTCTTATGCCCGCGGCTAAGAGACGCCACCCTAACTCATGTTGACTGAATAAAAAAAAACAAAAAACTGACAAGCGAGCCTTGTGGCTGAGAGAAGTGGGCCTGCTGATTATCTGCCAGTGCCAGAGTCTCTTGTTTATCAGCCTCGCACTTGCTTTTATCAGGAGAGATTCAAGGACAGGCAGCAAGACGAGTTGCTTAGCTTCCTGTTCAAACATATGTTTGTGTTTGGGTTTCCAGCCTTCCACCCACCACTGTTTGAGAAAGATCAGCGAATGTGACAAAGACAGCAACGCCCTCTCCTTGGAGATCCTCTCTTCTCAGATTTCCCAAACAGGCCGAGCCCCTCCTTCCACTGCTCCACCCTCCGGCAGTTCCACGTAACCCGGAGAAGGACGACTATCAGTCATGATGGTCGTAAACTACGCACGCAGGTTCAATAAAGATACGAACGCATGAACGTGTTTCGGTCAGGTCTTATCGACGAGTAATGATGAGTCTTCATTTTCTACGAATGTGCAGGGAGAGGAGGACAGAAGATAAGAGTACAACAATACCTGCAAGGCCTCAGCGCCCATTATATTCCATTACCATGATGTCTATTGAGCCAACTGTACAGTCTGCGATGAGCTCAGTCCCAGTTGGTGCTTCTCATATTCTACCCCCGGCATTCGAGTAATAATTACCCCGCGATGTGAGAAGAACCCAGACAACTGTTTGCTGAACAGGAAATTTTTAACCAGTTTACTGAGCGGCCTAATCCAAACACAGATAACAGCTGTGAATGAGAAATGTTGACTTAACGAAAACCGTATATTTGTTTGTTGCCTTTTAGTATTTTATGTTTTCTAGACAAAGCAACCAAACAGATTTTTATTGTGACATATGTTCTAAACACCAGAGTTGCTATCTGAAAAAAAGAGCTTTTGTTGTGTTGTGCGTACAATCAAACATCTTTACATGTAGATTTTTAGAAGAGTTTTTGTATGGAAATACCCTCGTAATAGCGACGGGTTCATTTTTCAGAACAATGAATGCGCTTCGCCGCTGTGACTCACATGTACTAAACTCGTGCTCAGGCCTAAAATAAAGCTCCCATCCTGTGATCCTCATTTAGCAAATTAATTAATGCCTCACATGTTCCCAGAATGTGTCTTTCACTTTTCCAGCCCAAAAAGTCTGCATGGATGGATGGTTAATTTCACTGTCTGAGTTTAGTTCTGTTCTAAACGAGCTGCAGCTTTAAATACAGGAAGAAAACTCTCTCTGCATGTGTGACCGACAGCTCAAAGGGAAACACGACTCATCTGAGTGATCATTTTACATGGAAATATCGCTGAATTCGTAGCCCTTCTTTATATCTTTTGGATACGGTGAGTTTGACGCAGCTTGAAAATGTCTCTGAAGTGACTGTTGTTGAACATGTCGTCCTAACGGGCTGCGTTTCAGTCACAAGTTCAACCTCGGTCTGTTTTCTAATGGCAGAATCTGACAAATCTGCAAATGAGAAGCAAGCAGTGTCCGAGTTTAGGTTGCACTAAAGCACAACAGGTGAAATAAAAGCCCGGTAACTCCCTCACTTTCCATAATCTTCAAATATCCTTTAGCGTTACAGTTTCCACAGAGCTCTGACCTGTGCAATCAAAGCTAATGCTAATGTTAGCCACATTATCTGCACAACCTATTGCTGTGAGATTGAAAAATAACCACTTGGTTCTTTAGCTCCTCAGATGCTGGAAGTGCATGAAACCTCTTGCGTTCACTCTCGCAGCAGATCATCCTGATGGCTGAGTCATTTTAGAGTTTAGCAGCTCTGGGAAGTAAAACCAACCTGAATGATTCACCAGAAGCTGTGACGGGGCAGGATTATGCAGCTGGATGACTAACCTGGTAACCTACTACTTGTTTTGAATCTTAACAAAAACCTGACTGGTTGGTGAAGCTGGGAGGCCGACGAGTTAACTGGGGAACTGGCAGTAAATGTATTTTCCACCCTTCAGACATGCAAAACACACACACATGTGTTTTCACCATATGGGATGAGGATGAGAGGTGATGCTCCACATGCTTCCTTCCACTTTACAGACTATTTATACGGATGCATAAGCTGAGGATAAACCAGGAAGGAGGATGTTGTGCATTTATCTTCTGCCTCCATCTGCAGGGAGCCTCGTCATGACAGCCCTCTCCTCTCTCCGTGCTGTGTCTCAGCATATGGCGGCTGATGGACGCGCGCTGACAGCTGACACCCCCACTTTGATCGCTTAGACGGAGGAGACGTTGGTCTGCCTCTCTCCACTGGAGGCTATTGTTCTAACAACACACTCAAATAACACGACACATGAATGAATTAAAAACCCACAACCTCACCGCGTTTAGCTAATGACAGCTCTGAAGACGTACATTTGAACCGTTTAAATGTGAAACTCGGAGCCCAGCAGTGAGCTAATGTTTGTATTTAGCTCCTAATGAGTTGATTCAAGCGACAATAGGCTAATGAATGCTAACAGCATCCAGAAACTCACCGAAGGAATGTGGTGTTGTAGTGAAGCAGAAAAGTACCCACCTTCCGGGAACCTTTACGTTTCTCCTCCAAAAATTGATCCGGTTGTCGGTGGCCATACTCGGATAACACGGTCCCCCTCAGTCCGACACCATTACCGGCTCCTCGCAGGAACCGACCATAGAAAAAAGGGGGCAGACCGCTTCCGCGTTTCACCGGCGCCAACTCTGACCCCGCTCGGCTCTTTCTGGTCTGCCTCCCCGGGAGTTTAAACCGTCGGGAGGTAGAGATATTCGGCTCTCAAACGCGCTGATGTGCGATACGGAGCTCTGGAAGCCGCCATCTTGGAGCGCACCGACCGCAGCGTGTGATTGGCGGCGGGGCAGAACAGGTGCAGGGAGGGCGGCCAATGGGACGAGGCGGCGGCGGCGGCGGCGGCGGAGCGACCGTCAGGGATGCTCGCTGCTGGCGGACACGTCGTGAGGGACACGATGGGAAGTTCATGCTGGTAGGAGAAAGTTTGTTGTGGCTCCGAAACAAACTGTTCAAAGCAGTTGTTTAGAGTGCAGCCGTGTTGACGCCTGCAGGTTGTTCATGTGTTTGAGTTGAGCTCTCAAACACTGACAAGGCCGCAGGTCATGAGTTTAACCCCCAGAGGTCAGACGGTCTGCACCACATGACATTCTGGTACCAATGCCTATTTTCCTTTAAAACATATACAAAAAAAATAAATGTCAATATAATATGAGCACAAGAAGTATTCCGACCAGACTACGGCTTTGTTTTCATAAAACTAAATGGGAAATCTTATAAATGAGCGTTGTCTCCTTAGTTTACAATTACTCCTGACCCATCAAAAAAAAGTTGAAACTTCTTTTCATTGACATTTAAATTCCAGACATGAAAATAAAGTCAAATCAGCAGAGATGTTAAGCTGACAGTAGCAAAGAAATCAAGCTAGCTCGTTAGCTAATGCTACGACAAGCTAATTTAGCATAACATTATTAGCTTAACCTAAAGTTAGCTTGTGCTACATTAAGCTAAAATAGCACAATATTATTAGCTCAACATAAAGACAGCTAGTTAGCTAATGCTACAGCAAGCTAATTTAGCAAAACATTATTAGCTTAACCTAAAGGTAACTAGCACTAAGGCAGGCTAATATTGCATAACAATATAGCTGTAATGTTACCGTTTTCCTTCAAAAATCCTTTTCTGATATTTCAACTTTTTACAGAAGTTTTTTGTTATTTTTTTGTTTAAACTAATGCATAGCAATCCACATGACCTGTGTTAAAAATCAAGAAAAGTCGGTAATCTATATTTTTCTAAAAAAAAAAAAAAGAAAGAAATCATAGGGTCTTTTTTGTGCTGTCAGAATATCACATCAAAATACCTCAAAACTACTTTTAAAACAATTCTAGGATCAATAAAATACTTTTAATACTGTTTAAAGATTAACACGATCATCCAAAGCAAAATCTGATTTTTTTATTTCTTCGTTGTCAAAATGGAACTCCATATATTTTGATATAAAAACTGAGAAATTAAAGAAGATGACCTGGACGTATAGGAGTCTCCGGAAAGTCAAGACTGTGCATGTCAACATTTTAATGTCTTCAGATAACATGTTATGAAAATAGAACACAATATCAACACTTCTGGGTTTCTTCTTTTTTCAGGGCTTTTAAAACTATCTTCACCATGCTCACCACACAGGCCTACTTATTCATTCACTTAAAAATAACCATATATTTAAATTATTTTTCACATGTTGGGAGAAGATGTAACATAACTACTAACAGCTAGCTGGAGCTGTCATTAGTGTGGTAATTCTGTCCAGCAAGCTGCCTGATAGCATCTTTAAGAGAGATTAACTTTATGTTCTTTTGACACAGCAGGAATTTTGTCATCCTCAAAAACTTTTCCCTATCAGAAGGACGAAGCACAGCGTCCCATTTTGGCTGTATGAGGGTGTCACATCTTAAAAATACGCAAACTGCATTTTTCAAAACGTCAGAGGGAGCAAAAAGTTGATTCTTAGTCATTTTGGTACTTAATTACACGTTTCAAATTCTCTGCAAAACTTGAAATTGTCAGTGTGGTGGGTTGCTGCCTGGTTGTTGTCGTTGTTGTTTCCTGTAGTGAACAGGATTGTGAAAACGTAACGCACCACAATCTAAATCTAGTGAGTCAGAGGAAGTCGTCACAAAGGCTAAAGAGGACAGCTGGTGGTTTTGGAGCCACAAGAATGGGTTGCAAATGTTTTAATCTTGTGAATAATTGGTTTATCCTTTTTTCTTTTTCCTAACAGTGATACGCAATAAATCTAAAAGGTCCTGCATTTTGTTGCAAAACCTGTACTGTAAGTAAAAAGACTGCACAGGTGGACAAAACATCACTACGATGTGTTGAATTTAAGTGCATATGTAACTGGCTGTGGTAGGTTTTTAAAAGAAAAGAGAGAAATCTGAAACAGTAACTGTACAGTAGCTATTGCAAGATATTAAAAACCACAAACCAGCTGTCCAATCAGAATACTTCCTCTGCTGTTTGACCCTCATTTGATGCTCAGTCATACTTCTCCTTTTCCCCCCACATGCTGCATGTGGAGCTTCTGTCCACACGAGGGCGCTCCGCTCAGAGAGCTTTGGTCAAAATGAAACCAGTCCAACCACCACGTATTTACTGTAAATGTTGTCAAAGTGAGTTTTCCATTTAGGCTGTTTATTACATACCGCGTCAACAACAGACGACAGCGCAGAGGGCCTGCAGCCTCGTTAGAGGACTCAGGTCTTCTTGTGATCATCGTTGTTGCTCAGAGAACCCCAGCGACTCACACAGAGCACGTCCATGGGCCTTTTTCTGTATTCAAATGCAGGCAAATGCAGGTTTTGTAGAGATGATTTGGTTTCATTTTACAGGCCGGTTTTTATTTGAATCGCAGGTGCTCTCGTGTGTCTGTTTGTTTAGGGAAATCACTGCAACCCCCACCCACCCGGCTTCACCCCCTCCAGCCTCCCAACGGACTTCAACTGACAAAACCCAGGTGGGAGTTTGTGTTTTGGATTCATCACTCTTTACCACTGGGATAATTTTTTTTTTACAAGCTGTGACGTGGCTCTCGTGTCATTACACAGACAGGAGCTTCATTAAGACATCGTCCAGGATTTGTAGAGATTTTGAACTTTGTCTCAAGGAAGACTCTTTTGCCGCTGCATTGCGCTGCGTTGTGGCCGAACACAGTGGCGTTGAGGGAGCAGGCTGAGAGGAGATACACTTATAGAGTCACAAGGCAGGACAATGGGAAGCTGTGTGCGGGACGGCTGGAGTGGCTGGGGGGCAAAACGACACTCTGCTCCTACTTTGAACCATTCCTGTCAGACCACAATGACTTTTTAATTTCTTTTTACATTACTTTTGTGGCCAGAAGATTAGCTATAAACCTTATAAATCACTTTAATGCTGTTTCTGCTGCTGAAGAGAACTCTGAAGTTTTATTTTTTAAATACATGTGCTCTAATGTGCTTCTCCATGGCACATGCTCAGTGGAGTTGAAGCCCCCAGCTATATTTTGGTTTGTGTGACCCTCTTGTGTTGCTCTCAGTCTCACCCCTGAAAGGACAGCATTGTGACTTCTTCTCTTCCTGAATGCATAAGTGGCAACAAAACCACTCCGACAGCATTCTTTTAAGAAAAGAGGAACTTTTTTTTCTCTCTCTCCCCTTTGTTGTCCTGTCATTGCGGCGTTGTGTTCAGTCGTACAGTTATTTTCAAAGTTTAGAGATCTGTTAAAGCTAGACGTGTTCTGACAATTCCAGCGACTTGAGAGGCTTTTAAAGCACTTTGAAGTGGGATCTTACTAAGCAGAGGTGAGTCTTTTTTTGTTACATAAACTATTCGATTTAATGATCAGCTTTATTGGTGACACGGGAGCATTGTTTTGCTGGTGTGACTAAAAGAAAACACACCCACTTCTACCGCATTCCTGCCTGTAAAATGTGTTTTAATTCGCTGAGGAAACGCCAGCACCGCCTAATTTTTTTGAGTCCTCTTCAGGCACATGGTGATGTCGAGCCAAGTTCTTCATCTGAAGGTCAGCGGGTCATCGACGGCTGTGCTCAGACGCTCTGACATGAAAGACTGTGAATTCTCTGAGAAAGGTAAGAGGGATGCTTTATCACAGTGAAGTCTATATGTGTGTTTGCTCCACACAAAGCGTCGCCTTCCCTTTCCCTACCTTTAAACAACAGTGTAGATCTGCAGTGTACAGATTAGATTAGCCTGCATGAAGGATTCCTACATGCATCACCAGGCGCTTACAGATTTCCCCACAGCGTTATACTCATAAAAAACTACCGATGTCAACTTTTTTTAAGCAAGAAAAATTCACATTTTTATGCGTTTATGATGTACTAGTTCAGTTTCTGCTCAAAATGTGCCTGTTAGGAGCAAAGCAGTGATGACAATACATAGCGGGACAGATGAGAGTGACTTCAGTCAGGCACTCGTCAGTTTGTCCTTTTTGCTTCTCTCAATACAGACTGCATTGTTGTGTTTCCACTCGTTGATTTCAAGGGAAGTGACTTTGCGTGTAGAATCCAACAAAAGATTGGCTGCATTCCAAATCACGTACTTTTTCTTTGTAGTTTAGGTACAGTTGCCCTCACAAAGTGAACCGTTTCATGCAGCATGCTTTCTATTGGGACGTACTGCTTCGTCCTGAGGTTGTGTCTCAAACTTTGGCCTGTGGTGTGAAGTGAGCTGTCGTCCGTAAGACACTGAGTCTCATCTGACACAGAGGATTGTGGGTAAAAGGGCCAGAGAAGCATGCTTGCTGGCTCACATGCTGCAGACCAGATGTAGCAGGACATCCATGTATTTTTAGCACAGTGCAGTTAACACACTACGTATTGATACATCCTAAATCTTTTCATGACGTACTGTACAGTATAGTAGTGTGGGTATGTGAACATGCTTAGGCCTCATCGCTGAACCCTCACACACTTGACTGATGAAACCTTTGTGGGAGAAATGGTTTTAAAGGGGATTCTATCTACACAGTTTAGCAGCAAGAAACTAAAAACTGAAAAAACCCATCAGATTTTCAATTTTCCGATGAGCCTTGAATGCATCATCCCAGAGTTCTGTTGGGGAAATTATTCAAACTTAAGCTTAAAATCAGAATATTTAATCGAAATCACGCAACTCTGCGTGCGTCATTTTAAAATGATCCGAGACTTTACCATATACGATAAAAAGATTCTGCGTAAAACACAAAAGCTGTGATGTCACTGATTATGACGACTAACTGCAGCAGCTCTCGTAGCTAAGTCAGAATCATCCTGTAAAGTCAGAA